TGTTAATACTACTACTATTACTACTACTACTATGTCCCCTCTGAAATAAAGGGAGTAAAAAAAAAAAAAAATTATCTTTTGTTCATTCAGTCTGGGATGCAGCATTGGAGTCTCTACTGAAAAACTGCCAATAAACTACTAGAATTCAAAAATGACACACAATGCAATAGTACTCTTCCAATTTCATGATAACATATGACCTTAGTACTCAGTCCTGTGATTCTGTTTTATTGAAATAGTAAAACAGATGAAACAAATAAGGTAAAGCAAAGAAAAACACCACAAAATGATTACAAAAAACAATCCAATGCAACAAGAATATACCAGCTGAAGTACTGTATTTTAAATGTTGAAGCACTTGAAAATATATAAAGAAAAGAGCAAAAGTTTTGTAAAATTTGTGAAAGTGTTTCTATATGAAAAATCATCTTTTATTTGTACACAGTTTCATTTCTATAGTAATAAGACTAAAATTCAGTACACTCTCAATCGAAGTTAGCTAAGGACATGAAAGGGTAAAACAGGCAACATGAAGACCCACTTCAGAAAACAATTATTTTGGCGGTTTTGAAATTCAATTTGTCAGCATGCTACCAGGGATGTAAAAGTGGATACATTTATAAATCAATTGTTAAGTTTAAAGAAAATTGGTTGAAAGATCAACAAAGAATAAGAAAGAAACCAGTAAAAAACACTATTTTTTGCTATTTACGCAGGTTTTCACTATATGGGTGGACAATTATCAAGTTAAATGACTGTTAAATAATCAACTTATTGTTGGCTATAAATGAGTGAAGTTTCTATTAGATTCCTTGAAAATTAAGGGAGTTTAAAATTTGTGTTGAAATCAATTTTTTGTTTTTCATGGTTTTTCACTAAACACAGTGGTATAGAAATAAAAATGAGGTTTTGTTGAGCTTGTCATGATGTAAGTAACCTACATACCAAGTTTGAACAAAATTGGAGGGAAAAAAGTTGAATTTATTGATTTTTGATCAGCTTTATCGATTGATTCTTTAAAAATCATCGATTTTCTATGCTAAGAACCTATCTCTTAAATTGTACAATGTATGTGCCAAGTTTGGTCAAAATTGGTGGGATAGATCTTGAGTGAAAAAGTATCAGACAGACATACAGGCATTCTGTTTTATATATAAAGATTACAGTCACTGTAGAATTCTTTTAATAAAAAAATTAAAATCTTTGCAAGACTGTAGAAGATACTGAGAGTAATAAAATATTCTGCATAAATGTTATTATGAAATTACCTAAGAGATGGCAGAAGACAGTGCCAAATGGTAAATATGTTATCCTATAAAGTTCATAAAAATAAAAATATAAAAACCTTATTTACTTAAAAAACAGAACAAATTTTAGATTTGGAGTCATATTTTACATCCTCAAAAAACAAAATCTTAAATTTAATACTAAAAAAAAAAAAAAAAAAAAAAATAACTGGATAGCTAAAACAACTATGGGAGAACAGTTAGCCACTATTTTAGTATATGATTTGTGCCAGGAAATATTAGATGTCTGAATCAATTTTAATGCTTATCAAGAGACTTTGATCTAAGAGGATCTGCAGTGACTTCAATATGAATATGTTTCACTCTAAATTTTGCACTTGGTGTCACCTCAGAATGTTAAAATGGAACACCTCCTTGTAACAAGGTCACATCCTTGGTTACAGTCACCAAATAATGTAACACCTTTCGCCACCTACACCACTGGTTCAAGCTGTGGCGGGTGCTATATTAAGGAAAACAATATCTTCACAATGAAAAAATAAAATGAGAGATTCAGGAGGTTAATCTTCTGTTGGTTTATATAGCTCTTGGTAAAAAAAAAAAAAAATTAACCCTTCCTACATCAATCTCTCTAGTGACACTGGCCCTTGTCTAAACTTCTAGAAGTCTTGGACTCAGGAATTCTGGTTGGCAGCTAGCATGGATCTCAGAGGCACTCAATGGGGGATCTCAGTCCAAAGTTTATGACCTCCCCAAAATTATCTGCTTATATGCACATCAGCCCAAAACTGGCATGGGGTCAAAAGGTTCTTAGGATTCATGGTTCTTTAATTGTCACATTAATTCTAATAAGTGTTTCTTTGTTCCTTATTTCTGGTTTCTTAATCAACTTTCCAAATTTGGAAAATTATCCATCATCCTTGGGAGTAGTCACAAGGATTGCTTTTCCCTTAACTCCAACTTGCTTCACATCTTGCACCGCTACTCAGCACAGGTGGGGGCTAAACTCTGGCCCTTCCTCCTCCTTTCTCAGTATTCTAATTCTGCCCACTTCTCAGAGCACATAACTTTCTTTATGACAAATCTAATTTTTAAAATGCATAAGAGAAAGGGCGTGGTGGTTTATTTTGCTCATGAAATTTCAATTCTCTGACTCCTTATGCACAAACCAGAACACTTTCTTGGCACAACATGACTGATCTTCATAGCCTCAACCCTAAGAAAAAGAGTTTGTTCCTTGTTTTTGTTTTCATCAAGGACAATATAATTCGCATCTGCTTCTCTTTCCATTAATAATAGTTATTTTCTAAGCGTAGCTTAGATGCAGCACAAGGCCGAAAGTATGGGACACCTAGTGAGGATTGAACTCACTTTTCAGTCGTAACTGATCTAGTGAGACAAGCTTGCTAACCATTACACCACGCCGAGGTGCCCTACTTTCCATTAATAATGTTTTCCTAAATTCTCAAGAAACAGATAAACCTATTTCCCAATTTATTTTTGTCAATGAAAATATATTTGTTTATCTAAATTCTCAAAAAAGAGACTTCTACTTTCCATCCCTTGGCCAGTTGATGTCTCAGTGAAAACATGCCAGATCACCTACCTGTTATGATGGATCAATTTTCATAATCTTGACCTTTGTAGTAGTTTCATTCTCCATTTTCATTTCTCAATTCGTTTTCGCTAACAAAAATATAATTCTCAGCTGTTTTTCTGTTCGCCAGTGACATGTGTTTTCCTAATTTCACAAGAAAGAGATAAAATTGTTCCCCAAATCTGTTTTTGTCGACATACCAGACTCTCAACAGTTACGAAAAATAAACTTTAGAACAGACGAAATCCAGATGGTCTCATTTTCACAAAGGAAAATATCTCCAGTCTATCTTCCAGCCTATATTTCATTTTGGGCTTTACCCTTTTATTTCCTGCTTAGAATTAATGTTTAACCACCTCACTGTCACAAAAAGAGTTAGGTGTTCAAGTGCTTATCTAGACGGTAATATCAGAGACCAGAGATACGAAGTGCAGAATTGGGCTGCAAAGAATGTCAGTGGGTATCCCAACATAAACAAGAAGTCAACCCCAGCTGAACTTAGCACATATATGCATGCACACACACACACACACAAAAATAAAACAAATGGACAAGAAGTTATATAAATGCATGACCCACAATGAGGAGAGAAAAGCCCTTAGATATCCTAGCAAGAAAAGGACTGAATGTTTGAGGAAACCAAATACACTCTATGGCAATGTTAATATGACTGACCAGAAATGAATAAACAATTATTTTACATATGAAAGATTTAGTCTAGTGTTCATAGACATTACTAACAATTTGTTTTAAATCATTCATTTTATCAAGCAAAGTGGCATAACAGTTACAAGACACTTTGACATATCTGGTGACTGGACAGAGTACAGGTCAAAGTGAATTCATGCCTTTCACAAAGGAATTAATACAAAATGAACAGAGGCAGTTTCAGCTGAAAGTCAAATTCAGTCTGACAATTTTATTATATTTATAAAAATCATTGCATTTTTTGTTCTGCACTAAATGTCCTTATTGATCTGTATTTATTGATTTTTACTTGGAGATTGCAATGAGTGAATTTAGAGCATGCAAACTGTCCTCTAAGACTTGAAGTCTTTCTATTGATTATGAATGCATTTTTCTTTTGCCCATTATTAGTGCATTAAATATGCAACTCTCTTGTTGCACTCAACAGATTTTGACAAAAACAGTCATGAACCTTTTAAGCCTTTTGAGTTCCATTCACTAAATATTCTTGTTTTTTTTTTAACAAGAAATTTTTATTCATTGGGTAGAGTGGAGGCATTTGTCTGATAAATTGAGTTACGTCAGTTTGCTGTTTATAATTTCATTTTCAAGTTGACAATACAACAATGTTCATTTTGTTTGTGTGTGTATACCAAATAATTATACTTCAGATGTATTTGACTCATTTTTATGTGGTGTGCTTTATGTTCAACTGAAAAGGTACAAACATTCGCATGATGCTTATTCAGATTGTATTCAACCATTTTGAATCTTGAAAACCAGTTGTGTAACTTTAAAATCAAACAGATGAGATTTTCATGCATGGATAGACATTCTTTAGTGTGGTTGCTCATTCAGCAGTGAAATGTTATTGAGTAAGCTTGTTTTACCCCTGCATTCACTTACAGTAACTGTATATATTATGAAATGGACTGTCCAACAATTATTTAATATATTTGTATGTATAAAAATAATGTATAAACAAAAAATACATTAAGTAACTGCATATGTTAATCCTTCAAGTCTTTTGCAGTGATTTTTGGCAAAACATCACATCCCACATTAAATAAAATGAGACTACATTACAAAATGGGCATAAAATATTCAAAATGCATATAAAATGTTTATAATGTGCAGAAAATATTTAATATATTCATTTTCTTATACTGCCAATCTCTTTGAAACCATTCCACACATGTTGTCATTTGTACAATACACACAGATAATTAAAGTCAGAATATTATATTCACAAAAATGCTAGGATGTAGCTACTACAATACAGACATTATTATGTTCCTGATGATGACTGCTGAGATTGTTGAAAGTACTTGAACAAAAACACCAACTTTGCTTAGTTTAGCCACAGTCTTGTCTCTTGATTTGCAACAGGAAAAATACTATAATTACATGTTAACATTTATTGAGAAAATTTCCAGGATTAAAAAGGGTAAAAAAAGTCTATTACTCACTTGTTCCAACTGAAGTGGGACTTGAATAAATGTATAGATTCGTTTCCTCTTCTCTGTAAAATTCTTTTGGTCTTTCTCCGGTAGATAGCCTCTTGTAAGCTCGGATGTGAAATACCTAAACATTGAGAGACCTGTAAAAGAAAAGAAAACCCATTCATTATATATCAACCATATACCAATATAAAAGGTGTGGTATGTGAGATTTTTCAAACAGTTACACAATTTTGTTTTGTAACATTTTGAATATACTGGAATGCCTATCAGAGTTTTATAATAGTTATTTTATTCCTCAAGACTTGATGTCAGGGAGAGCACATAGCTGTAAAAAGGTTAAATTGAGAGAGAGTTCCCATTTTGGTAAATATTAAAAGCTAAAACAAAACATGTAAATATTAGGTTTTGTTTTTAGCAATTTATTAAGTGTAACTTAGATGTGACACAAAGTCAAAAGTATGGAGCACCCAGTGAGAATCCAACTGACTACTCAGTCATAGTTGATCTAGAAAGACAAACTCACTAACCATTACATCACATCAAAATGCCTTTTAATACTTTCCTATCAAAGGTTTGTTGAAGTTATCTGCTGACATCAAATAACAGCAATTCTCTTTAAATCTTCAACTTTCTCAAACAATTTTGGTTTAGTCCAGATAGTTTCAATTCTTTGTTAGGTTTTCAAACATTTTCAATGTGTTAATAACTATGGACATAATTTTCAATCTGATTTAGTTTTTAATTAGTCATTTATAATGACTTACAGTGTAATAAAATCAATTCATTTAGACAGATACAGTAAGTTTTCAATTATGTATCTACTTACATGTTCTTCAGAATCACTTTTTTTCAAAAAGTCTGAATACCCAAATAAAAATAATTGATCCTCCAATTTAGAAGAATGAATAATGCTCAGCCAACAATGGAGGAGGAGATGGTCATGTGACAACCTATCCACCCACTACTTTGTGTGCTCATATTTTACATATGAAACAAACATATTTGCCTTTTGGTAAATGTGAAATACAAAAAGGTTATAATTTTGTAATCATAAATGACAAAGGGGATAATGAAGACAATTGGCCATATTGAGGAGAATTTTTATTTTTTTCATCTGACCCTAATCTTGGACTGTGTATAGTTAAGCCCTATGTTGCAGAATGGATAATCTTTTGTGGAAAAAAGCTAAAGAATTCAGTAATTATTTAAATAATTGAGTTTTTCAGAGCTCATAATTTTCATTATGTTAGAGAGAAAAAAAAAGAAATCATTTCTAAAGGCAAGTTCCCCTCCATTGAAATAGGGTTTGAGGCAAGTTGCTGCTTTCATTAAAGATGCATATAAATCTATTTATTTGCAATTGACAGGAAAAGAGACAAATACTATATCTTGCCCAAAGGTGACCTAAAACTGTACATGCTATCTATTTTTTAATCATGTCATCACAAAGCAAGGCAACAAAGTCACTAAGATGCAAGGGGAGGTTACTGAGTGTGAAAGAATAAGAAAAATTTGGTTTAGTTCATTTTACAGCGCATCAACCTCACTGGGTTATTTAATCCCAACAAGGTTTTTATTGCTGGTAATATTTTTTTTTTTCAAAATGTATTGCTAGTAATGTTTTCCAAAAATGTATTGATGGTATTAAAACCTATTTTTACACCATCATAGTGATTTGACCCCAGTTTGGGGGTTAACTATTTGTCCATAGCTGGGACCCTAACAGATCAATGGTAAACCTAGGAACACCAGCAATTAAGATGTGGTTCCATGCTCCTCAACACGCCCTGATCAGAGGCCTTGCTGCCAGATGTAGTTTATTGTCATATCCAGGACACAATAGGAAAAATAAGACATAATTAAAGAGAGAGAAGAAGAAAATAACAGGAATTAAGCAAACAAAAAAAAAAAAAAAAAAAAGATAACACTTGACATTGCATTTAAATTTTTGATGATCAAAGTTGATTGGAAAGCAAGAGGCCAGAAGAGAGTTCCACAAGCGTGAAGTGTGAGAGAAGAAACTTTTAGCATAAAATTTACGGTTACATCTAATCATTTCAATTGACACCTAACTGCCAATCTAGTACTGTGCTTAAATTCATAAAGTTGAGATACCAAAGAATAATTACCATAAAACTATTTTTTTTATTGTTTATAAATTTTGGCATTCCAACTTGTTCTTTTTAAATTATTATTTGATTATGTAACTTTATGATATCCTTGGTAGGAATTATTAAACAAATAAAAACTTTCTTCCTGTAGATGATGTTTACATAGTGTATTCTAGTAATAGGAAAAAAACAAAAAACAAGCACATTTGCATTTTATCCCGTAATTATGATTGGGTGTGTTGTGTATTAAAAAAAAAAAAAAAAAAAAAAACGAGAAAAGGATTGTCAGTGGTTAGGAAGTAGGGCAAGAATTTCCGATAAGAATAAGGCTTATTATACATTGACAAATATAATTGCAAAACTCAGAACATGTGTTTCAATTTCCTCAATATTAAACACATGGGAAATAGAGCCAGAATAAGCTGAATGATCATATATACAAATCAATAACTTCACACAGGTTCCTAAATAATGTCTTTATATTGACATCACAAACTCCTTTCAAGCAATAAATGTATATATATATATATATATATATATATATATATATGGTATTAACACAAGCTTGTATTATTATCTGCAATGAAATAGAGGGCAAATATCATCCTGTGATATATTAATTAGTAGACACACCTTTTGATGTTGTACACCATTTGTAAGTGGGTTAACTGAACAAATCAGGTGATCCCCCCAACCCCAATTGATATCCTATACATATTCAATGCTGACCAGGAAAATTATTAAACTTCATGGAGAGTATGTTAAGTAGCAAAAAGGCATTATGTGGACAATTAACAGCTTACTGGAACAGAACATCATCTTGTTGCAGAAAGTTCTGCAAGAGGCTGGAACATGTTCTGGACATACATGGTACTGACCAACATTGCCTTCACAAAGATCAAAGTTGAGCATGTGTTGTAAATTATGGCACCTCACCTCACAAAGTCAGGGATTGTGCACATGTATTGTGGATAGAATAAACTCTGAAGGATATCAATTTCCAGGTTTGTATCATATACAAACAGCCATCTCTGTCAAAGTCAGAACATGATCTCATCACAAAATGCTAGACACTTGCACTGGACTCTTAACATAATGAGCCATATTGCAATATGCATCTGTTGTAGCATACCTCCAGACAATAATGGGTATGACCCCATTCACAAATACTGTAGTAAATGCTGTATGTTTGTCTGCAGTTGGAGATTTGTTTCCAGCTGTGTAGGTCAAACTCTGCCTGGAGGCAGAGAGGATCCCGAGGCGAGATTATGTTGAAGGGCAGAGTCTCGTCTCAGGGAAACAGCTTTATACGGGATCAACAGGGAATTTTTGGCTGAGCCTACTGGCTTGGATACCCGACATTAAATTCGGCCTTGTGCCAAATCTGACCGTGTGGGGCAGTTGGTAGATATCCTGCAGTTGGAGATTCATTGTGTAATTCACTTGACTCACTTCTACGTGCAGCTGGCGAATCTTATATGTGTTGTTCTTGTCCTAAGTATTCTCACTAATTATCAACCTTCGTGTGATTATTCTATTCAGTAACCTTCCCTAGGTTACAACAGAATCACTGATTAAAATTCATACAAAAACAGTTCACAAAATGGTTTTCAAAATGTTTATAAAAATATTTATTATTTCTTAGTATGCACCTAGTGTACTCAGGTCAAAATCAGTCATTTTCCTTCAAGGTGCTGTAATATCTTTGGACATCAGTGTATGCAAGGTCATTGCTAATAATTTTTTTATAAAAATACATTGAAAACTAGGAAGAAAAAGATTGTCAATAGGCAGGAATGAAAATAAGCATTATTTGATAAAATATTTTTTTATATGAATTGTTTTCCAAGCCACTAACATCAAAATTAAGACAATTTCATTTTAAATAGTTTGTATTAAAATGAACCTAGAAAATATTTGATCAAAGGTAATCATAGCTTTTACACTTTGATCTCTACTAACAACAAAGATTCAAAATTAATACAACCAGGTTTTGTAATTCCAGTTTGACTTACCCTGTTGTGATTAGTAAAAACAGGTCATTAAAAAAAAAAAAAAAAAAAATCAGTGTCGTCTGTGGTATTGCTAACGAGGAGTTTTACATTTGAAGGAGAGTAGAACTGCAAAGTGCTGCGTTTGCCTCCCTCTCCTTATCAGATGCATTCAGTTTCATCTTTAGCTGTTGTGCTAAAAGTAGCCAAATCCTCAAACTTATTCAGAAAAGCCAAGGTGACGTGGATTGTAATTCAAAGCAATGTGTTTCATCATTCAGTAGTTGGAATTGAAAAAGCTACAATGCTATGCAAAAACCAACTGAATGGTAATAAATTTGCAACAGATGCTCAAAGGATAAAATGTCAAGCAGAAAAGTCAATCTCTCTCTTATCTACAGTTACAGAGGCTTGGGTTGGTAGGGATAGCAGATTTAAAAAAAGAAACTGGTAAGTAAATAACAAAAAACTTATACTTGATATTAATTGCAGTCACATAAATTATTTGAGATTTCTATTTCGAGTTATATACATAAAGTCTTGTCAAAGCAGCACTCAATGAGATACAAACTCAATTGTAAAGGGTTGCAGATTAGGCTTTTTAAAATTTACACCATGGGAAGTTCTTAAGTTTTAGAATGTATGGATAACATTTATAAAAATTAGCTTAGTCTGGCACAAGGCCATAGCGGGAGATTATATAGTGATGATTGAACTCAAACTTACACCATGAACGAACTGGTTTGAACATTTGTTTTCTAACCTTCACATTAAGGTAGGGCAGGTGAATATACACACAGTCCATCCCATAAATGCTTTAACTTGTATGAAAAGAAATTGTGACATGAATGCATATATTAAAACTTGATATTTTTATATAAACAAATAGAAAATAAAATTGCAACACCCTTAAGGTTAATGCAGATGTGCATGCTAGAAAGGTCTTTGAGCATCTTGTAATATTTATAAGGGTTCATCACCTGTGTGAAAGCCTGTGGAGAGACATTGTGCAATAAAGTTAAGTGTTATAAAAGA